TCCCTACATTTTTCTGTAACAGAACACACTAGGAAGATTCGATTTCAAGCCAGAATAGATACTTCCAACAAAACTGCTATTGGCAGCCCAAATCCTGAAGTTCTCCCTTTAATTCCTTACAGGAGGAATACCCCATGACTTCCATGATTATCCTACTTGCATGAGGACTTTAATTGACTACAGTGCTGGTGGTGTTTTTATCAAAGAAAAATCTTGTATATGATAAAATAGGGCATAAACTGAGATTTATGAAAAGCCTATGGATATTTTAACATCCACCACACATTTACTCTTTCTTGCTGTTTAAGATTTCTGTAAATGAGTTAGGAGTTTAAAGATAGTAAACATAAACCTAATACAGTATACCTTTGAATGTATTTCCCTTGAAAGACAAGACTGTGTAAAGAGCTAAGAAAAGGAAGGAAGGATTTTCTTTCAGTTGCAGTAAAATAAATTCAGGATTTTATTAACAGCCACTAGATCACCCACTGCCTTTCAGAGTCCTTCCTCTGCCTCCCCAAATGAATTTGTTACTCTGAGCATTGTAATGGTGGTCTCAAGTCAGAAGAGAACATTAGCTGGGAATTTTCTAGTTTGCGTTAAGATGATGTGAAAATGAGTGCAGGAGACAATGTCTGTACGAGTTACGGAAATGAAAATAACAGACAGAAGGAAAAATTCATAGAAGCTGCCCAGCAGAACAACCAGAACTCATTTTCCATTTCCTTGTCTTAATTTTTAAACATGCTTTTGAATCACAGTAATTACACAAGCAGAAACTCTCACTCTTCCTTGATTTCCTTCAATTTCATGTCTTCAGAGGGGAAAAAGGCTGATACTAACTTTGAGATATAGTTCCTACTTCTTTTGATTCTTGAAGGAAAACTTTAAAATAACAGGAATAAACAACAAACCATCACATTTAAACCTTGTCAGAAATAAATACAGCAGTCTTAGAACTTAACAGAGTTTTTTTTTAAAGAAGGTGGAACAGACACTGGAGTTAGAATTACATTCAACAGATAAGAAAAAAGGAGAGGAAGAGAAGATCCAGTACAGTGGGTTCCATAAGTTTGTACAGATGCAATTTCATTACCTTCTCAAAAAAACAGTTGGAAAACTGTGTTCCTATAGATTAGTATCAAGTAGTACACTGGTTGAAACACAAAAATAAATTCTAAGTGCATAATAGATCTTTCACATTATTATTACGTAAAGAGCGTGTGTGCTAAAGACATAAAAGTGTAATGCTTATGCCTGCATTTTTGCAAAAAATACACACGGACATTCAGGATGCACACATTCACATATCAAACCAGCATATATTATGTGTAGGCTGCTGTATTTTAGGAACTTCTCAGACAGTTTTAATAATTTTTTTTATGAGTATTTTTTGGCTTTCTCTGACTGTGGAGGAGTTAATTGAATCTGACTTACACAGCTCCAAGAGAAAATAATTGTTGAAATATTCATGTTTAAATATGATATTCTGGAAACACAGCTGACCTTGATTCAAAATCATATTTCTGAGCCTGGAGCAAACTATGTATGGCTGGCTGCTATGGTTTAGACGTGAGTAGTGGATCCTACCATGAAGCCAGAACTCCAGAACAGCTTCCCAGTGGTATAAAACTTTCTACATTGACAAGCAAACACTTTTTGATTAAAAACCAAACTGTTAGAGGAGCACTTCCATATTTATGTGACAATGAATACAAATAATTCCTGCTAAGTACAGGAATTCCTTCCTACTGTTTTATTATTCATAGTACTTTGTCATTTCTGTTCTATAATACCTAAGGCTGATTGTATGATGATTTAAGAAACATGTTTGTAGATACATGTTTGCATGACATAGCGATATGAGGATATTGTTTGTGTAGTACATCATGTTTGGATGATGATGAAAGGCACCTTGATATGTTTGCTGAGGCACAGCCAGACATTTCTGGACACGGAGAAAAAATAAACCACGGCAATATTAAACTGTAAAAAGATGAAGCACTGAGAAACCAAGAGTCATAAATTACCTTGAGAAGCTCAGTATGAATAAATGCTTTGCAGTATAAAACATATATGGTACAATCTGTGACCTTACCGTTCCTGTTGTGCCCAAGGAAAGGTGGTTCATCTGTTGGGTCAGAGGGCCCATCATGCTTGCTGGCTGCATTGACATAGTGTGGTCCATTGTTGGTGTTATCACAGCACCCTACAAACACACATCATTTACACTTCAGCATTTCAGTTATTAAAAAAAAAAAAAAAAAAAGCAACATTCTCTAAATGAGTGAACCTGGCTGAAAACTTGACATGAATCTTAAAAGAGACTAATATATCTGTCAGACAAAATAAGTTTTGCTCTTATTGACAACCAAGTTACATACATATATTATTTGTACTACTAATGAGGCCATTTTATGTCAGTTCCAATTAAGCATAATTTTTTACTTCATTGCTTCTGACAAACAAATGCATATATTCGTCCTATGATGAATACTACTGTACATTGCAAAATGCCTGTCATTTCAATTTTTTCATATCTTATGCAGAAAACTTACAGCCAGATCACATATGTCCCACATTTTCTCTGACTTCTAAAACCCAGTTACTGAGTTCTTCAACCTATTATGGTTGTATTTTTCCAGTCTCAGTTAAGAGCCCTTACTTGTGACATTTTATAGCTGATTAAGTAAGACTAGCTATTGACAGTGACACCCATTTAAAACACATACACAGCATTTAAAAGCATTTTTCTTCTCTGCATGAAAGACAAAGACACTAATAACAAACAGCATATGAACAAAAACAAGAACAAAACTGAAACAAAAGACATGCCAGAGGAGCTTTGTAGAAAGCTTCTTTGCCATTCACACTCTTTGGTTTTTGCTCTCTTGCTCCCCAAAGTCCCATGTTGGTAACCTCATGCCTTAGTGAAGTGTTGATTCTCTTCATTTCTGTGGTGTAAAATGCCATTTCCTGTGTTGGTTAGAGAAACAGGCTGACTCTCACTCTTTCAGTCAAGAGAGTGGTCTGCTCTTTTCTTGCAGGTAGTGAAAAAAGGAGTTATTTCTTCATATGAAATTATAGCTCTGCTTTGCGCATATGTAAGCTTGTGTGCACATATTATAAATTTGCACAGACAATCACAACATTACATTTGCTACAGAGCATGGGAAGTTTGGATGAACGTTAAAAAAAAAGGGAAAACTGACACTTTTTTCCACAAAGATTTAAAAAAAAAGATGCATCTATATAAAGGAATTTAAAATAAAGTTCCCAAACCCGCAGCACACCGGTTCTTAAGTGTCTGTCTCGTATTTACATGGAGCTATGTGACTGCATTGCCAAGGATCTGAATAGAAAGAAAAGTTTTCAAATTTTCAGTTGTAAATCTGAATATTAACATCTTTGTCAACAACATGGACAGCAGGATTGAGTGCACCCTCAGCAAGTTTTCTGAACAGCACCGAGCTGTGTGGTGCAGTTGGCAATGCTGGACTGAAGAGATGCCACCCAGAGGGACCTCGACAGGCTTAAGACGTGGGCCTGTGCAAACCCCATGAAGTTCCCACAAGGCCACGTGCAAGGTCCTGCACCTGGGTCAGGGCAACCCCAAGCACAAATATACGCTGGATTGAAAGCAGTGCTGAGGAGAAGGACTTGGGAGTGCTCGTTGACATGAAGCTCAACATGACCTGACAATGTGTGCTTGCAGCCTAGAAAGCCAACCATATCCTGGGCTGCATCCTAAGAAGCATGACCAGCAGGCTGAGAGCAGTAATTCTCCCCCTCTACTCCGCTCTAGTGAGAACTCACCTGGAGTACTGCATCCAGCTCTGGGGCACCCAGCATAAGAAAGACATGGACATGCTTGAGCAGGCCCAGAGGATGGCCACAGAGATGATCAAGGGGCTGGGGCACCTATCCTGTGAGGACAGACTGAGGGAGTTAGGGTTGTTCAGCCTAGAAAAAAGAAGGCTCCAGGGAAACCTTATAGCAACCTTCCAGTACCTAAAGGGATCTTACAAAAAAGCTGAGCAGAGACTTTCCACAAGAGCATGTAGTGATAGGAAAAGGAATAATAGTTTTAAACCAGAAGAGTGTAGATTTAGATTAGATGTAAGGAAGAAGTTCACTGTGAGGCACTCCAGTGGTGAGACACTGAATCACAGAATCACAGAATGTTAGGGGTTGGAAGGGACCTCCAGAGATCATCGAGTCCAACCCCACTGCCAGAGCAGGACCATCTAGTCTAGGGCAGGTCACACAGGAATGCATCCAGACAAGTCTTAAAAATCTCCAAGGTAGGAGACACTGGAACAGGCTACCCAGAGAAGTTGTGGATGCCCCCTCCATGGAAGTGTTCAAGGCCAGTTTGGATGGGGCTTTGAGCAACCTCTAGTAGGAGGTGTCCTTGCCAAAGCAGGGGGGGGTTGGAACTAAATCACCTTGAAGGTCCCTTCCAAACCAAATCATTCTATTTTTCTTTGAAGTATAAAAATAAACAAAACCGAAACATTCTAGGAAGTACCAATTCAATTATTTTCCCACCTTCCAGCAATATTTTGCCTATGTGTATCCTACCTGTGAAGCGTAGACACTGCAGTATCTGCAAAGTTGTTACTTGCATGTAATGGTAAACAGGAGGCAGGCTCAGCTTCATCAGTCATTTTTGTAAAACCCTCAGCAGATGAAATACATTCACACTTGCTTTATGTCACATAGTGGATTATATTTCTTTCACTGACAAGAGTCCCTAGAGAAATTTGGAATATTACAGAAACTAGCCTCCACAGGGTATCTGTCATGATTCCAAATAAATATTTATAAAATAAGCTGATCAGTGTGCAAGTATCGAATCTGCAACACTTGCAAACACTTTTCCCTCTTCTTTGCCTATTTTAATTTGCACTAGTTTACATAATTAACCCACTGATTAACTCTTTCGAATTAACTGCTACAGTGCTAACCTTCCCTTTCCTGGCAAGTGCTTGGTCTCTTCTCCCAAGTAACTACCAATAGGATGAGAGGAAATGGGCTTAAGTTGTGCCAGCGGAGGTTCAAAATGCATATTAGGAAGAATTTCTTTCCTGACAGAGTGGTGAGGCTTTGGAACAGGCTGCCCAGGGAGGTGATCCCTGGAGGTGCTCAAAAAACATGATGACTGAGCACTTCAGGACATGGTCTAGTGGTCATGGTAGTGCTGGGTTGACAGTTGGACTTGATGATCCAAGATATCACACAACCAGATGAGGTCTTGAGGTTTTGGACATCCACCTGCACTTTTTGGTTATGGTAAGAGACTGTAAGCTTTATGTTCAGCATGATCCACACCACAAAACAGCTTTTCTACTGTACCAAACTATAAATGCTCAAATAAAATTTGTCAACTCATAAACCATTCTCAGTTTCCTCTATAACCAGTTTTGTCTTTTGGCTTAGGGATGGAGGACTGCCTCAGGCTTTCTGCGACAGCCGAGGAGAGCTCCCACTTGTGATGTGTGATGGGGTAAGCAAAAAGTCACACCCACACCACAGGTTCATCCAGCCCCACACTGTCAATAGTAGTAGCTGCCATTAATTTAGGATGTCCCTAAGCCTTAAAATACCGAGCTTTCTTTGCAAAGATATTTATTGCAGAGGTATGGTTGGAAGAACTTGCTGTGACTATAGATGTGACAGACTGATAGCAATTCCTGTGTATAAATTCAGGAACCTGGAAATAAAGGAGGAGCAGCAGTGAAGGAAGTCTTATGATTTACTGTAGCAAACACAAGTGCCAGAGAGTGGAAAAATCTGATAGCAAATGTCTTTCAGTAAATAAGTAAGCAAGACAGGTTTTGCAAACAATCTACTAAAAAAAATATGGACTGGAGAGAAAATATATCCAGAGCAAAAAAATTGCTCAGATACAGTAAACATATTATCTTTAAATAGAAAGTGCACATATTTTAGTCCCAAACATATACTGTTTAACATATTGAGAAAAAAATTAAGTATTTGCAGCTTTTCTAAGACAGCTTGAAGTGTCTGAAGCTAACAGTTCCTAGAGCAGGGAATTACAAACATTTGCCAGACCACTGATTCACTAGAGCCTGCAGAATCCTCTTGTGAACATGCAGGGAAAAAATTACACTTAATTAAGGAAATATCATCTGGCTGTTAGGGCTACACCTAGTCTCCAGATCATAATGAATTTCATAATACATGATGTCAAGTCTATTCATATTCAACTTATTTAGCTGTAGAAGACAACGTCTTGCATCAGGTGCTGCCATCATATTATAAGTAATTTGATTCTTTTAATCCTATAATATGTATTTGCTGATAAATATCAACTTGGCGAATGGCAAAGGTTACAGCAAACATATTTTTCATTTTCATCTGTTTGGAGGTCTGATTTTACTGAGTTTGTAAACGGTATAGAGAGGCATCTTAGCACGGCATACTACTACTGAAGTCCCAGCTTAGTTGGAAACACCTGTAGAAGAAATTATGACGAGGTTTTTGCCTTTGTCTTTGCCAAAACAAGTAGTTGGCCTGTCAGTTATTTAAGTTTGCCCTGTTGCATCATTTTAAATTTTTTTTTAATTAATTCCTGCAAGAAACTAGTTACTATAATGGCTTTCAAGTTTGGCAAGCTACTCTTGGCATATGACTTGTCACATGATTCTGTTGATGCTATAGTGCCTTTAAAAGAAATTAAGGTTAAGAGGGCAAATGATAAGGAATCAAGAGTACAGAAAAAAATGTGTGATTTTTGCAACACTGTGATAAACCCAAGGTAAGTTCATTGATGTCTGGACTTTAATTCCTCTTTACTTGAAAGATCTTGCTGTTCTAAAATGCTAGCAATATGGACATACTTTTCATATAAGAAAGTGAATATGTTTATTTCAGAATATTTTCTAGTCTTGCCAATTGCCAAGAAAAAAGCCTGACTATCAACTACAAACAGCATACATTCCCTGTATGGCAACAAACTGAAATCACAGGAAGGACACTATATGTACCCTTTTTATTATATTAAGTGAATTATCTTTAAGTACTTGCCAATACCAAAAGGCACCAGCAGAAATAAGGTTTATGTTGGTGCAATGATGCTTGCCACTTTATGTACCTTGAAGGGTGGGAAAGAGACATCAGATATGTCATTACAATAAAAGTGTATTAGGGGGCTTTAGGAACAGAGAGTTCACTAGTTGAGGG